CCAGAACACTGAGCCCAACCAAGAACACCCACCCAACTTCACCGCTCCGTCCAGGCCCAGAAGAATGTTGTCGCTTTTAATGTCTCTGTGGATGACCCAGTTGGAATGAAGGAAAGCCAGTCCCTGCAGGCACTGCAAGAGAGAAATAAAACCAGAGGATAAAAGTGGGCCATCTGATTTCATCCCACAAGAAAGGAGACTGCTCTAAAAGATTTCCCCCTTTTGAGGGGAATAGTGATTGAAGCCAGCGCATGGTGCTGTCAAGCGGAAGAGCTTGCTGCTCCAACACTAGGAGAGCAGTGTCTTTCTAAGGGAAGGCGTATTAGCTTTGAAACAGAAACATCCCTTGTTGCTCTAGTGCCCTGCAAAGCCAGCCAGAATGACTGCTGCTGCACTGCTTGTGCTCTCTCCCCCAGAGGACAAAGGAGGCTTTGCCAACAAATGGCATGAAGTTGGTCGCTTTGGGGCAGGAGGCTGCACGATGGAGATTTTCTTGCTGGCCTGGACAGCAGCCTTGGAAGTGGCCCATTAGTCAGTCTGGAGAAGCAAACACCGTCTTGGGGGCAGTGCTGTGCTTTGAAGCTGAGGAGTGGCAAAAATGAGTCTGGATTTTTCTTTTGCCATTCCTCCCAACTTCTGCCACCAGCACCTTTGCTTTTACAGGCAAGCGATGCAATAGAGACAGGCTCCAGGCCAATGCTGAGAGAGGCCAAGTGGGGAAGAGTAAATAAATTTAAAGAAAGACAGAGCGAGACAGTAAAACCACGGTAGATAAGAGGATCATAAGAGCAGAGTATAGGAAGTGCCAGGACACTGGCAGGCAGTTTGCTCAAGCGAACACAGGAACAAAGCTCTGAAGATGAAATCCCTCCTGTTCACACTGCCTCCTTACCAGGACAATCCATTGCAAGCCATCAGAAGCACCATAAGTGGGATCCCTTACCTCCCGACAGACAGCTGCTATCTGTCCCACGGCCATCCAGGTCTCACTAATAACATCTGTCAAAGAGCCTCCGTCCATGTGCTCCATCACCAGCCAGAGCTCCTGACGGACAAGGTAGCTGGAAGAGGAAAACCACAGCGTGGAGAGGAATGAGACACTTGAAAACCATCCAAGCCCACTACAGCATGAAGGGAGAGAACATACAGGCTGTTGATTTAGGAAGAGATCCAGGTTTTTGAGAACAGTGTTTAAGCTATGGATGCCAGGAAGCACTAATGCAGACCAAATGCAAACTCCTCCTGTACGTGGTATACGAGAAGATTAAAAATAGAAATTAAAAGATCCATTTTCTCCTGGGGAGTAAAGAGCTTTCTAACCTTTACCTTGCAATGAACATGAACATGATAGTACCAGAACTGCTTACCTGTCCAAATAAGTAACGATATTGGGGTGCTTCTTATCCCTCAGGACCAGGATCTCTTTCAGGAGTTCCTCTTT